CCTCCAGGATACAGTTACAAGAAGGTTCATACAGGCATTATTCATCATAGTACATTTTCACCATTTGGAAAGCACCAAAGGTTTATCACTTTGGATATGGATGAATAACCTGTGGCCCATTCATACAACAGAACATAGCATAAAAACAAACGACTTGCTGGGCATGGTGGCTTGCACCTGTAACCTCAGCTGCTTGGGAGATGGAAGTGACCAGATCACTTGATATCAGGAGTTCAAGACCAGCTAGGGTGACATAGCAAGATCTTGTCTCTAAAAAAAAAAAAAAATTGAGATGGAGTTTCACTCTGACGCCCAAGCTGGGGTGTAGTGGCACCATCTCGGCTCACTGCAACCTCTGCCTCCCAGGTTCAAGCCATCCTCTCACCTCAGCCTCCCAGGTAGCTGGGATTACAGGCATGCATCACCATGCCAGGCTAATTTTTGTATGTTTAGTAGAGATGGGGTTTCTCCATGTTGGCCAAGCTGGTCTTGAACTGCTGACGTCAAGTGATCCAGCCACCTCAGCCTCCCAAAGTGCTGGGATTACAGGCGTGAACCATTGTGCCCAGCCTCCAATTTTTTTTTTTTAATTAACCAGATATGGTGGCATGTGCCTGCAGCCCCAACTATTCTGGAGGCTGAAGCAGGAGGATTGTTTGAGCCCAGGAGTTTGAGGCTGCAGTGAGCTATGATGGATGAATCTCAGAGTTGAGTGAAAGAAGCAAGAGTTCAAACTGTGACTGCTCTTATAAAGTTCAAAAACCAGTAAAAGTAACCTATATTGTTAGAAATGAGTAATTACCTTGAAGGAAGGGGAGACGGTGACTGAGAGAGGAAGGAGGGAGCTTTGGGATGCTGATAATTTTCTGTTTCTTGATAAGGGCAATGGGTACCCAGTATGTGCTTTGTGATATTCAAAAAAACAGGGCTGGGCATGGTGGCTCACACCTGTAATCTCAGCACTTTGGGAGGCTGAGGCAGGAGGATCACTTGAGCCCAAGAAATCGAGGATGCAGTGAGCTATGATTGCACCACTGTATTTCGGCTTGGGAAAGAGAGCGAGACCCTGTCTCTAAAAACAAATAAACAAAAACACATTAAATGATTTATGTACTTCTACATGTGTTATTCTTCAATGAAAAAGTTTAAAAAATTACTGTAAGAATGTCAGGTGAAATAAAACTTACGGCAAAAAGCATTAATAGAGACAGGGGAGTTATATTTAATAATAAAAGAATCGAGCAACTCACTCCCTCTTGGGCAGTATCTTATTCTGATTTTACTTCTCTATTGTGTTCTTTGATTCAGCCACTATAGTGTTCATTTCTAGGATTTATGGGTGTCTTTTTCCAAGTTTGTGTCTTAGGAGTTATGTGACTTTATCTCTGAACATTTTAAACAAAGTCTTTTCAGAAACAGCACTATCACCACTAGTTCATTGACGGCAAACCCTCCAGTGTATTCCTTCTGTTTTTATGCCATTTTATTTCTTCATGTGCTCAGTAATTTTTACTTACAAGTTCATTTTCATTGAGATTCATCTTCCTTAGAAGCCCTGTAAGTCTTGAGTTGCTGTGGCAACCTTGTTGTGGATTGCTTTAGTGTTTGCTTCTGCCAAGGCCTTACAGGATTCACAACTGTTTGTTTCTGGACTTGGGGCTTGCATTCATGGGGGGCTAAGTTTTCTACTCATGGTCTGGGGGCCTCATCCTGTACCGAGCTGCTTCACACTCACCCCAGGCATCCCCTCAACATGACCTCAAGGCCTTTGGTAAATGGTCAGCAGCATCCCATGTCAAGGATGGGGATGAAAGGGGATAACCTAGGACAAGAGGCTGCTGCCACATTTAGGCCAGTGCTTGAACAATGGTAGAAATATACAAACAGCTCAAAGAAGCAGGTGAGAATTCCACAAAGGCAAGTAGTCAGTGACCAGGAAATTAGAGCTCCAGAATTCACAGTTCACAGGCATCCACAGGTACCATCACAAGCTGCAAGATTACTGACCTCTCTCTCTCTCTTTCTGCACACAGGGAGGCCCCTGCCGACATGTCGAGACTGTCTATTGTATCATAAAAATATCACATGTGTGAGAAAGAGAATTTATTGACAGCAGACAATTTCATACAATTTTGGCATTTAATTTTAGTCATTACACCAAGGTACCTGTGTGATAAGAATGATGTGTGAGACCAACAAAAGGAATGTTCTAGTCTAGTACTATGTAATAGAACTATAATGTGAGACACAGAAGCAAGTCATGTATAGTTTTAAAATTTTTGGTAGTCACATTTCAAAACATTTTTAAGAATAGGTGCAGTTCATATACACCATGGAATACTATGCAGTCATAAAAAAGAATTAGCTCATGTCGTTTGCAGGGAAATGGATGAAGCTGGAGACCATCATCCTTGCAAACTAACACAAGGAACAGAAAACCAAACACCGCGTATTATCAAAATAATAATAATAATAATGTATTCACTCATAAGTGGGAGTTGAACAATGAGAACACATAGACAAAGAAAGGGGAACATCACACACTAGGGCCAGTCAGGGGATGGGAGGAAAGAGGAAGGAGAGCATTAAGACAAATACCTAATGCATGTGGGGCTTAAAACCTACATGACGGGTTGATGGGTGCAGCAAACCACCATGGCACATGTATACCTATGTAACAAGCCTGCACCTTTGGCACATGTATCCCAGAACTTAAAGTAAAATTAAAATAGATAAATAAGAACAGGTGAAATTAATTTTAATGTTTTATTTGCTCAATATATCCAAAATGCTGCCATTTTTACATATGATCTATATTATTGAGATATATTGAAAAATATTGAGATGTTTTATGTTTTATATTGTACTAAGCCTTTGAAATCCAATGTGTTTTTCACAGTTACAGCACATCTCAAATCAGACTAGCAACATTTGTTGTTGTTGTTTGTTTTGAGACAGAGCCTCGCTCAAGGCTGGAGTGCAATGGCACGATCTTGGCTCACCTCAAGCTCCGCCTCCAGGGTTCAAGTGATTCTGCTGCCTCAGCCTCCCGAGTAGCTGGGACTACAGGCGCCCACCACGCCTGGCTAATTCTTGTATTTTTAGTAGAGAGGGGGTTTCACCATGTTGGCCAGGCTGGTCTCGGGCTCCCAACTGCAGGTGATCCACCCACCTTGGCCTCCCAGACTAGGCACATTTTAAGCCCTCAATACCTACGTCTGGTTAGTGGCTGCTGTATGGGACAGCATGGGTCTAGTCCAATAAAATACGTAATGTCAAACTCTAAATAATATTAGCCAGGCTGGGTGCGGTGGCTCACGCCTGTAATCCCAGCACTTTGGGAGGCTGAGATGGGTAGATTACGAGGTCAGGCGATCGAGACCATCCTGGCTAACACGGTGAAACCCCATCTCTACTAAAAATACAAAAAATTAGCTGGGCGTGGTGGTGGGCGCCTGTGGTCCCAGCTACATGGGAGGCTGAGGCAGGAGAATGGTGTGAACCCAGGAGGCGGAGCTTGCAGTGAGCCAAGATCCAGTCACTGCATTCCAGCCTGGGGAACAGAGAGAGGCTCTGTCTCAAAATAATAATAATAATAATAATAATAATAATAGTAATAGCCATTGATTCAGTAAACAACTAGATAGGTCCTATCTGGAACTGACTGACAAGCCTTGGCCACCTAAGAAAAATTGAAAGCGTGTAGGAGTGCAGTTGGTCTTGCTGACAGCCACAGCCTGTACAACCAGCTCCTTCACACCCACATTGCCCCATCAGTTTTCTGTCCTGACCCCTGTCTTCCTCCTGTCCCTTATGGCACTAGGTGATTCCTGGCAAAGTAACTTGAGGAGAGGTGTTTAAATAAGGCTTATATGTTGGCATCACAGCTCACACACAGGCCTCTGCCAGAAAGAGCAACACAGACTTCTCCAGCATCCTGTGGTCCTATGGACAGATACTTCACGAGATCCCTTTCCGGGCCCTTCAAACCCCACTTTGGAGACCATACTAGGAAACCCAGTTAAGAACAGTAGGCTCAGAAAATGACACTGAAAGGGAAAGGCATGGACACCAGCTTCTTGGTGCCCCAAAGCTTGGGAGCACATGCGCAAAGCAGTGTGCTGGGCCAGAGTGCCAGAAATGCTGGAGGCCACTCCCTGCTTCGCCGGACTCCAATCTGCCTGGGAGATCCATGGCCTTGCTGCCCTGGCTCCATGAGAACTGACATGCTTATCTGTCTTCCTCCCTCAGAGGCAACAAGGAGTCGAACCAGAGCTATTCTCTGCAAGCCCATGATCTTCCAATAAACTAGGCAAGCATGGAGGAGGTAAGACAGGCCCCGACTCCTCCTCTCCCAGGGAGAGAGGAGGTAGTGCCGAGGGCCTGACCCAAGGACTTCACAGTCTGGTTGAGGAGTCCTGGGCCCTGCCTGGCAGAGCCCCCATGCCAGCTGGGAAGGGCAGAATCACCTGCAGGGCAGTTAGGATGTGAGCTGGGGTATGGGGGTTTATCCTCAGAGTGGTGGAGGCCAGAGGTCAGCTAGGATGGAGCCATCAGGAAAGCATCCCCAGGGATGTGGACTGATTTGGGTAATTCCCAAGGCCATGCTTATTTGTAGCATCAGTGAAAAGATGGTGAGAAAGCCCTGTACAATGGGACAAATGAGAGAAGTTCTCATTGTTCCTTTACATTCCATCCCTGCCCTGACTAGTGCATAAAATGGAGCTTTGAAATCTGTCCTCAGCCTGTGCTTCAGGTGGAAACCCGCCATGCTAGCGGATGCGTGGACTAGCAGGTGTGGTTGGTGTGCAGACACAGTCTTGCCCTCGCTCCACCTCCCTCATTGACATTGCCCTCCCCACTCCCCTGCCCCCATCCAGAGAGCTCCTTACTGTCCCTGAGTGATTAGACAAAGACACTAAGGAGTCTGTCTAACCCATCCTTCTCCAGGCCAAGGGCCTCTGCACTCTCCACACATGGCCAACTTTGACCCAGCCATCTCAAGACCAACATTGTACCTTTATTGGAATGAATCACAGCAGGGCTCCCGCAGAAGGGCGGCCATTTTTTTTTAATGTCAAGTGCTGGTCCGGGAGCAGGACTGATCCTGCCCCACAGACTGAACTGGGCCTGGAATCTGTGGCCTGGAATCCACGACCCCATACTTGGCCACTCAATTCCAACCCAAGATGGTCTGGGGGCCTGGGCCTCGGGGAGCCTGGATGTTTGCTTCCTCTTTATTGATCCTAGGCAGGTTTGGAGACAGGGTATGGGGCCAATCTCAGGATCTGGGCATTGAGAATGACGTTCTTGGCCGCTTCTTCAGACATATCATCAGATGACATATCATCAGATGACGTATCCTCAGGCGTCATGTCCTTAACCTTATTCCTGAAAGAGCCATAAGAGGATAAGTCCAGGGCCACATCTTTCCAGAAGCTGAGAAAAGCAGCGGCTTGTGCCTTCAGCAGCACCCAACCCTGCGTTCCCAAGAGGTGAGCCTTTCTCACTCCGGCAGGTCCCCAGTGGAGCTTTGCCAGGAGCCTCCAGAATCAGGTGTGCTCCAGCTCCCAACTCTCGCGAGACCCTTCTCTTTCCTGTGTCTTTGAAGTTGGTCCACCATCTTCACTGCTAGCATTTACTGAGCACTTGCCACATGCCAGACCCTGTGCCAGCTGCTTTATGTAGGTTTAATCCTCTCAAAAAAACCCATGCGGGATGGCTGGGCTACATGGCCTTACCTCTCTGTGCCCCAGTGCTCTCATCTGTAAAATGGGGATAGTGATAGGACCTACCTTGCATTTGATTGTTTTAAGGATAGAGAGAGATAAGGTATGTATAGAACAGGGTCTAACACATAGCAAATGTTCAATACATCTTAGCTATTGTTATTACTCTGTTCTCATTCCACTTTGCAAATGAAGAAACTGAGTCTCAGAGGTATGAGGTAACTTCTCCACGCACACACTAGGAGGTTGTGGCACAGGGAACCTGTGCCCATAACCACTATCTGCTCTCCCTGTGCAGCGCTGAACTTCCTCTCTCTATGGTGGGGCAAGTTTCTATCCATCCTTCAAAGCCCTACTCAGATGTCACTGTGACATTTTCCCCGACTCCCCAAATGAACATTCTTCCCTTGTTAGGTTCCTATAGATCCTGTACATCCCACTGTCAGAGTCCGCTAGCAGTAGCTGTTTGCATAATCTGTCTTCACATAAGCTATGGCTTTCTCAAGGGTGGGGAGTGCTGACCTCTGACCTTTGACAGTCAAGCCCTGGCACAGTGCCTAGCATGTGTGATTCGAATGAGAGCAGGGCGGGAGGGCAGGAGGAAGATGGTAGGGAGGAGGGCAGAGAAAGCCCAGAGGCAGTGACTCCTGTGGCACAGAGCAGAGGACACTCTAGGGCCCCGGCAACTTCTGCTCCATACTGCTGCTCGGGTCCCCTCAGGTCCAGGGAGAACATGTTCATTGGCTCAAATCCCAGAAGGGATGGTTCTGCCAATCATGACAAGTCTTTTCCAGGGGACACTTGGGAGATCAGAGGCCAGAAGTGCCCACGGAGGTGTTGGGTGGAGCCCAGTTCCCAAATGGGGTCCTGGGCTGCTGGGGCCAAGAGGCCAGAGTCCTTCATCAAGACTGGGTTTTTTATGAGGAACTAGGAGTTCAGACAGGAAAAGAGATGTACTCAGAGTTGGTTCCAAGCCAGTCCTCTGTCCCTGGGAGGGGAGGGAGCCTCTGGCAGGAGTGGCCCTGGAGGGTATGCCCAAAAACAATGCCCCCATCCAGACACGCAGGCAGGGGCAAGGAAAGGAGAAGACACGGCCCAGCCCGGGTCAGGAAGGGCAGCAAGATGGGAGCTGGCAGAGGCTGGGTGGGAGTAGGTAGGCAGCAGCAGCCAGAGGAGAAGGGAGACTGCTGCAGACATGGCAGCCTTCAGGCCACAGGCTCTCTGGCAGAGGAGCGGGGATGGACAACGCCCCACATGCTCTCTGTACCAAGGCTTCAGAGCCAGGCCCCGTGCTGGCACAGCCCAGGAGGCTCCCACACCTACCTCATCTGTGGGGAGTGGTCCAGGCTGTCGAAGAGGGGCTGATCTCGCGTTTCCGGTAGCAGGAAGGAGAGGGAAAAGGCCACGATGGCTAAGGCGCAGCAGAGAAAGATGGGCAGGAAGGAGGGGGTCTGGTTGATGATTGTCAAGGACAAGATGGCTCCAGTCGCCGAGGCCAGAAACACCAGCCCCAGACCTGTCGCCCTGAAAGTGGAGGTGAGAGCTCCTCTGAGAGGTCTGTCGGGTTCAGAGGCTGGGCCAGGCCAGCAGCTACATGAAACCCCACACCCTCCAGTCTCCACCCTGTCCCGTCCTCACTGTGTGATTCCAAGCAGACAATAATTTCTTCTGGGCCTCTTCAAGGGAGATGAGGAGGGGGAGAGGCAGAAACCATGCAGCATTGTGTGGAAGTGCAGGGAGAGGACGCAGGCAGTGATGCCAGCCAGGCAGGAAGATAGTGCTCCCATCACCAACCTCAGGGAAGGATCTGAGCCTCTGAGTGGCCCAAACACTTTGCAGGCAGTGAGTGCAAGGCAGGGGCTGGAGTCAGGCTGCCTGGGTCCAAATCCCAGCTCTGCTGCTTGCTCTGTCTGCCCTTAATCGAGTGCCTTCATCTATCTGGTCTTGCATCTGAAATAGGGTTAGCGATGGCATTTAGGGGATTTTCTGGGGTGTTTAAATGAGATCACTTATGTAAACTGTTTAGCACAGTGCTTGTCACCAGGTGAATGCTTGTCTTACTTGCTGCATTAATCTTGTCATTGTCAGTCCCTGCTCATGCCACCATGGCCCCCTCACCCACCAGACCCCATACCTGAGCACAGTGGGGAGGAGCTCGGCGGTGTAGAGGAAGAACACAGTGACAGTGGCGGCCAGGCTGAACTCTCCAAGTGTGAGCACCAAGATCGTCATGGATTTCAGCCCTGTGGCCGGACAACGTGGCCAGCTGAGTCTGAGGCCATCCTCCCCTGGGGCAGGTGAAGGAGGCCCGCCCATCAGCTCTCCCTTGACCCCTCCTAGAAGGCATCTGAGCAGCCTTCCCTACCACCTGCCCAGTTGGCCAGCAGGCTCAGGCATTCCATCAGAGGAGGGGCAAGCTGTCAGAGGCCCAGTCAGTCCAGAAGGCAGGACATGTGCAGTGCAGAGTTGATCAGCAGGGGTGGGGAGGTCCCCTGGGACCCCCATGGCCTCTCAGGCCACTGTCTCCCATGCTACACCCAACACCCCCATCTCTGCCTCCAAGACTGTGTCTTCGTTCCACCTCCTCACCCAACTGCAGCTTCCTCACCCCACTGGGGATCCACTCAGGGCCAGGCCTGTGTCCTCTGGGTTGGGACCCCTGCTCAGGGCTGTACCACCAGGGCTCTGCAACGTGCTCAGAGTAAGAGGGTATTTGGTTCCTGGGGCCTGAATGGCTGGGATAGGTCCCAAACATTCCAGGATGTTTTCTGGCCAGCTAGACAGGCACAATGAAGGGGAAACTGGAGAAAGCCCATTCCTCAGACCTGGTGAAGCTGGGGGCTTCAGCCCCTGCCTGCCTGCCTGTCAGCCTCTGCAGGACCCTGCCCCAGCCTCACTCCCATTCCAGTCCTGGCTTTTCTTGTCTCTGGGATGAAATCAGAGATCCAGTTTTATCTACTGGGGAGTCCATTCCTAGTTTCTCTCAAACTTCTGAGTTTACATATTTCTGCTTGACTCAGCGTAGACCCGCTTTTTTAAAAACCACCAGGCAATAAACATTCAATAATAAATTTGTTTCCACATTTTGTGTTACCCAATCTACACTGCCAGCATCTGGGAGTGGAAAGGTCCTAATCCAGGCACACACAATTCCAACCCTGGAGAAAGGGAGGGAACCCCTCCAGCAGGCCCGGATCTAGCCCCCACTGCCCTCGCTGGACTGTGAAAAGGCTCCGCAGGCAGTCATTCTAAGTGCGTGTGCTGCACAGATCGCTCCAGCTCTAGGACCTGTGGCGTATCCACTGCTTAGGGCTCTTTGAGATTCTGAAGATAACACCAGCCCTTCCTGTTTCCTTTTCTAGTGCTAAGCCCGCAGGAATGCAGCACTCAGCCCCTCTGGAAAGGAGGGGCCTCCATACAAGAGCTGTTCCTGAGTGCTGAGCCCCACATGACACTCAATTTTCAGTGGGCAGGTTATTCCTGGTGCAGCTACAGAGAACAACAGGCACTTCCCAGTCAAAGGGGCTACAGATGACAGGTGGGCCTGGGCAGCGGTTGAAGGAATATTTTTGCCATCATCTATTCACATGTAACCATTAGACCTACTTCTAAGGTGGATTGGAATCTGGTGGAAGAAGGCTGCTGCCTGCTGTCCCCTGGAAAGTACATCCTCCTTCCTCAGGCCTCCGAGAGAGTGTGGGCGCCCTGTCTGGGAGACCCCACCCAGGAAGGGCAGTGCTCCAGGGACTGGAGGTGCTGGGGCCTCTGTGGGGTGGGTGGGCTATAGGTGCAGGAGGCTGATTCCCAGGGTGTCTAGGTGGCTGGCCAGGGCGGGCGGCAGTGGGGAGGGGTTTTGAGAAGCAGGAAGGCGGTGGGCAACCCACGGGGGAAGGATGAGCTGTACCTTCAGGGAGGAAAAGGAGAAGCAAGCACCAGATGATGGTTTGGAGGAGAGTCACAGCCAGGCTCCACTTCCTCCCAATCTGCTGGAGGAGAAAGATGCAGCACAGCCGGGCAGACACCTCCATGATGCTGGGGACCACATGTCTGAAGTGGACGCTCACGCCCAGCTCTCTCATTCTCAGGCTCAACGTAAAATAGGTGTAACTGACGGTAAACCTGGATGAAGCCAGGAGGCATGTGCGCGTGCATACACACACACACACACACACACACACACACACACACACATACATGGAGCCGGGAATAAAGACAGAGGCAGAGCAGCAAGGGTCAGGGTAGGAACGGAGGAGAGAAATAAGCACAGAGACCTGTGATCTGTGTCCTTGGGCTGCCCTCCCTGCAGCCTGACCATTCCCATCCTCTCCCTAAAGTTTCCAGCCTGCGCACCTGTTTGCAGTCCCTGCCAGCGGGCCCTGGATACTCACCACACGCAGCTCATCACCAAGATCACCTTGCAGAGCTGCCTATTCTTACAGAAGTCCAGGACAGAGGCCTGAGTCACCTTCTTTCTGGGCAGCTACAGAACAAGCAGAACCAGTCAGAGGCAGAGCCAAGACCCCAGCTTGCTCCCCAGCCCCACAGCACCCACAAGGCCTGCCTGTCCCTGAAAGTGCCAGCTGGCGTCTGGCCTTCCCTGGCAGGGTTCAATTTTGCTGTCACCATTGTCCTTAAGCAGTGGACTGGGGGCACCCTCTGAACCAATGTCCCACCTGAAGGGATGAGGAGGGAAGGGGCCCTTCCACAGCCCATTGCTCCGGCCCCACTCCTGGCTGGAAGCCCTTTACCTCGTCCAGCAGATTTGAAGGAATGGTCTTCTTGTTCACACTTGCAGCGTAGCACAGCATCTGCTTGGCCTCCTTCACCTTCCCTTTCATCATCAGCCACCGTGGGGACTCCGGGAGAATCCTGCGTGGCCAGCCCCTCTCTTATCTCATTGTTCTATGATGCCCAGAGACCCCTGCTGGCCCTCTCGTGGCCTCATCTGTGGCCATCCTGTGCCAGCATGAGGTGATTCAGATGTCAGGGCCTTGAAGGCCACCACTGACCTTGAGCCCTCTGCTCCTCCCCGGCAGTCAGCCCTTCCCCTGTCTAAGCCTCAAATGGCCTCCACCGCTGCTAAGTGACACCCTGACCACTGGCTGCCTCTGTCTCCAGCCTCCTTGATTTGCCCTCGGTTATCACCGAGAGCTCTCTCCTTTTCTCTCTAGGGGGGCCATCCCTATCTGCTCAGGCACACTGAGGGCTCCGACCTCCATGCCACAGCCTCTTGTAGAGCTCCCATGCTTTTAGGTGGAATTTCTCCTGTTCCCTGTCTCCCCAACAGCCTGAGGAGTGTGAGGAGGCAGGATCCTGGGTCTGACCCCAGTGCCCAGCACTCTGCCTGGGTGAATGGAGGGGTGAGTGAAGGTCTCTACTCTGTCCCGTCTCTCCCCTGCCACATCTCTATTGCCTTTGACCTCAGAATAAGTCCTCTCTGTTTTTTCCCATCCTCTCAGGCTGTCAGAATCCACACAGATTGGCATAAAAAGCACTTATGTGTGAAAAATGGTGCTCAGTGCCCTTGTATATATAGTCTTGTTTAATCTTCATCCAAACCTGGACCTAGTATGATTATCCACATTTTACTCCCAGGCTTGAGGAGTAAAGGCTTGCCCAAGAGCACACAGGCAGAGCTATGTACTTGGGGACTGGTACAGCCTCAGTCCCCTAAGGTGGTATAACTTTTTGATAAAACTATGCCTGCTGATTTCTTACACCACCACTCCCTCCCTGACCACGATTCTGGCTGGTTGCCATAAACACACACTCAAGACACTAGAGACAACTTCATTCCTTATACCTGCCCTGCTCCTCCTCTCTCCCACCAGGGTTCAGCAATCAGTCATCATTTTCCACTCTAAGGCTGTGGAACTCTCCTAAAGAAAGTCATTAAACTGAGACTTCTTCAAAAAGATGGGGGATTGGCCTCATGTCCACTGAAAAAACAGGAACAAAAAAAGGATACCAACTCTCAAGGACAAACAGAATGGGAGGGAGGACACGATGGGAGAGATGTAACAAATGCACTGAAGAGGTCATGAACAGAATGTTGACATAAATATGGACAATAAAGATATTCTGATGAGGTCTCAGATGCAAATGAGGAACTATTAGAAACTGGAGAAATGGCAATCCTTGCTACAAAACGGCAAAGAACTTGGCTGAACTGTATTCATGCCCTAGTGTTTGTGAAAGAAGGAACTCGTAAGTGATGAAATAGGACATTTGGTGGAAGAAGTCTCTAAGCAAAGTGCTGAAGGTGCGGTATGGCTTCTCTTGACTACTTACAGTAAAATGTGAGAAGAAAGAAACAAATTAGAATTTATAATTAAAAGGGAAGCAGAACTTAAAGATTTGTCAAATGCTCATGTTAGCCATGTTGTTTATTCATTTTCCATGAATAACAAAGTGTGTTTGGGAGAAAACACCAAAGATGTGGCCAAGCTACTGTTTGGTAAGGAGGCTAGTACAAATCAGCAGAACTAACCATGGAGACACTAAAAGAATAACCCCAAAGATACATTAGAAATCATTGGTACTGCCCCTCCTATCACAGGCCCAGAGTGCCAAAGCCTAGGGGACATAACTATGTCAAAAGAGGGACCTTGAGCACCCATAGCACATTGGTGCTCATTGCTAACAGCCTACCAATAGAGGCTGGAAATCCAGTTCATGGAAGGGACAGGGTCTTGAATCTCTCCTCCTCACTCCCCATACAGCTCTCATCTACTCAAGCTAGGCAAAGGGGAGTTCAAGAGAACTCCTTAGATAGATGAGGGGACTGCCTTTTAAAAAGGACATCTACCATCCCACTTTGGCTGGAACTTGCTAATTCAGAAACATGGGGGCTTGCGCTGGTATTCCAGACAGTAAGAGAGATTATAGGAGAGTTAATATGTGTCACCTGGAGTTTGAGGGCCTACATAAACCCAGAGAATGATGCCCATCTCTCATCTGGGTATAATGAAGGCAGAAGGTTGAATGGAGCCGCCCACCACAACAGGGTGGAGGCTGGGGAACAGTGGGGTTTTTTGGCCAAGTGGACCCTGCTGTCTTAAAGGCACCCCATGTGCTGGGATGAGGAGACCTCTACACAAAGAGGCTGTGGGGTGAACTGCCAGGGACAGGAGCTGAGGGAGGTCACAAACAGAGCACTGGGAGCATTAGGAAATTCCAGTGCTCAGAAGACCCACGAATGGACCCAAGAGTGATGGCATTTGAATATCTACCCTACAGAGGACCCTGAGAGACTATAATAGCCCCTGCCATGTCAGTCTTTGGTCTATTTTATCTGATGTCCCTATCCCATGCCTAGAACCTGGAAAATCAGAACGAGGAGATAGGAAGAAGAACAATAGGTCAGAACAGACCTCATCATCCTTGGCCACTATCCTGAGCGAGGAGCCAAGAAAAAGCTGTGAATCTGATATAAGATTAAAGTTTTTAATTGAACTGGACTGAATGTTTTTTTTTTAAACAGGGTCTCACTCTTCTGCCCAGGCTGGAGTGCAGTGATGCAATCATAACTCACTGCAGCCATGATCTCCTGGGCTCAAGTGATCCTCCACCTCAGTCTCCCAAGTAGCTGGGACTACAAGTGTGTGCCACCAGGTCTGGCTAATTTTAAAATTTTGTGTAGAGGCAGGGTCTTGCTGTGTTGCCCAGGCTGGTCTCAAACTCCTAGCCTCAAGCGCTCCTCCCACCTCAGCCTCCCAAAGTGTTGGGATTACAGGCATGAGCCACTGCTTCCAGCTCCCATGCTGTTAACCCCATCCTTTATCATCCTTACTACACATGGTACAGTTAAAATGCAGGGGCTTTGGAGACGGCCCCTGAGTTCAAATCCCAGGTGCCCCACTTTCTAGCTGTGTGATGTTGGACAAGTTATTTCCACCCTCAGAAGCCTCAGTTCTCCCTCCTCCCCACCTCCCATGACATGGGAGTAGCATACTTCTTCTAGAGGGGTCAAGATTAAATATAATAATGTCAAGATTAAATATGATCATTGTTTCATGCAGAACTGCCTAACCCTTCGCACGTGAGTTCTTTCAGCTTCTTCTCACCTCCCTCTCGGCCTTCTCTTTTGTCCCTCTCTTTTCCCCATCTGCCCAAGGTTAGCTGTGGCATCTCACTTTTGTTCTCAACCCTTATTCCTCCAAGTTTTGCCCCATCAGTTGTCCTCTCCCAGCCTCAATCTCTTAGGTTCCTGCCTGTGACTCCCCTACATTCAAAACATCTGATACTCTTCCCTGACTCTTAGTTGCCCATGTAAATCATCCCTTTCTCCCTTTTTCTATGAAAGTCATCTCCTGGCTGAATTTCTTCTGCTCCTAGTCACTCCTTAACCCTCTGCCACTGCAGTGAAGCCACCTGAAGAAGGTCACCAAGGCTGGCAGACCCTTTCCCAGCCTCACCCCTCTTGCCTTCAACACTGACCCTTCCCTTGTCCTTAAACCCTCGGCCTTCAACACTCTTCCTCCTGGTGTTCTGACCACCTCTCTGACATCTCTTTGAGGGTCTTCTCTGGGTCGGGGAGGAGATTAATGCTGAGGTTCAGAGGCTCTGCCCTTGGTGCCTTCCTATCTCATCCCATCCACAGGCACTTTCTCCCAGGGGAAATCCCACCCATTCCCACAGTTTCAAGGACCCTCCACTCTCATCGACATCCAGCCCATCAGACCCAGCCCTGTACATGCCCTGTACTCGCTTGCTCACCAGATATAGGAGATGAGGGGGACCGCAAGTACCCCACCCACCAGAAACAGCAGCCGCCAGTGGGGAAGACTGTAGGCGATCCCCGTCAGCAACATGGCCCCAACAGCGAAAAAGCAGTGTTCCAGGATAATGGCGTGGGCCCGGTGCTCGCCCACTAACCACTCAGTGGCTGTGCAGAAGCCAAGAGGACAAAACCATGGTCACTTCAGGGTCCCCAGGGCTGCCCTTGCATTCAGCCTTCCTGGGTATCCCCACCTTCTCTGGACAGTTGAGATCAGGCAAAGCTGCTTCTGCTTGTCTCTGCACTGGGTCCAGAGACAGCCCCTCAGAGCCTGGTACAGCACTTCTGTTCCCACCAGGGCACACCCTTGTCTCCTAATCATACACACAGCTTCCTTCCCACTCCACCTGGCTGCTCCCTCTGTACACCCGCTGTCTGACCATGTGCCTCTCATAGAAAAGACACAATACCAGACACGTGGCCTGACACATGGTCAGGGAAGGAACCACTGTCCTTGTCTTTGTTCTGAGTGTATTCGTGCTTTGGCCACCTAGGCCTAAGGATCCCAATGAGAAGAGGTTCTCCTGCCAGGAAACCCCGAGCAACTAGGCAGCTGCAGCTATAAGGCTGCACTGCGTGCTTTAGTATCTCATAGGCCTGGGTTGAAGTCCCAGCTTCTTCACTTAGTTGCTGTGTGACCCTGTGCAAGTTGGTTAACTTCCCTGAGGCTCAAGAGTCCTCCTCAGCTGAAGGAGTAATAGAATACTGCCTGCTGAAGAGAGTCGCATCAGGAGGAAATGAGACAATGCATATAAAGGGCTTAGCAGCTGCCTGGCTCTTCTTAGCAGCTATCTGGTTCTTTCTTCTTCTTCTCCTTCTCTTTCTTCTTCTCCTCCTCCTCCACCTCCTCCTCCTGCTCCTTTTTTCTTTTCTTCTTCTTTCTTCTTTCCTTCTTCTTCTTCTTCTCCTCCTCCTCCTCCTCCTTCTCCTCCTTCTTCTTCTTCTTTTTTATTTTTTGCATGGCCTTTCTTAAGGTCTCAGTAAATGTAACACATGGGGCTTGGGGGTATGCAAGGAGTGTGCGGTGGAAGATGTGGGGTATGAGGGAGTTAGGAAGGAGATGAAGGTGGAAGAGCAGTCAGAGTACTGATTCTCTGGCATCTCCAGGCAGCCAGGAATGGAGATCCTTTCCCCTTCTGCCTGTCCAATTAGGCCCCTGACTCTGTGTCCTGTGGGCTCCCAGCAGGTGCCCACGCCACCACACACCTGCCACGCCCTCTTGCAGCCATGCCACGCCCCCTTGCCATCTGGCTATGACGTCACGCCCCCTGCCACTACTTCCCCTTGTCACCCGCCTATGCCACCATGTCCCTGTGCCACCCCGCCCTGCCCCATTGAGGCCCAGTCTCACCCAAAGAAATGCTGCTGATGGAGTAGCCCACCACTGACTGCGAGATGCCAAAGCGAAATAACAAATACAGGTGAAAGCTGTTCACGAAGGCTGTCCCAAAGCCGAAGATGATCAGCCCCAGCAGTGACAGCAGGATGGCAGGGTAGCGGCCCATCCTACAGGCGTCAAAGGGAGGCTGCACCAAGCGCACGGATCTCCCTGTCCCTGGCTGGCTCCAGCCTGATATACCTGGGCCAGGCCCTGAGCCATCCATGGGTCCCTGGAGAACCCTTATCCTCACCTCCCTCAGCCTGACACACTCCAACCCTGAATGCCCATGAGGAGGAGGTGGGATGGCTCGGGGGCCAGCAGAACCTCCTGCGGACTCACTTGTCAGTTATGAGCCCGAAGATGAGAGAGCCTATCAGGATTCCTGCCATGAACATGATATGTGCAGTGTCCTTCTTCGTCTCCGCGTCACATACCAAGTCAAACTGTGGGTCAGGCACAGGGATTGGTCATGGGTGCCCACCTTTGGGTCCAGAGACTGAGCCTCATCCCAGGGTGGGACCTATAGGCCAAGGAGACCTGGGGTAGGGGCAGGTAACTGTGTGCGGCGTGCCTCAGCTGTTGCCTCTGCTCTGCTACCTCTGCAACCCCTCCAGCACCTGCTCCACCCTGAGAGCTGGGCCTGGAGAGAGTGACAAGAGGCACAGGCCAAGATGTGTGGCGGGGGCAGGGGGTAACTGAGCAAGGGCAGGAATCAGTGCAGACCCTTTCCCAAAGGCAGATGCCAGGCCCATCCTGCAGATTCATGCTAGTGTGGTCTGTGTTATAAAGGGCCTAGATTGCAGCTCGGGTTGGGAAGCCCCGTAAGAGATGCCTCAAAGCTGCTTCTTTCCCTGAGCCCTACTTTTTATGAGTTCTAAGGTCAGAGCCACAACTACAGGAGCGATTTCTTGGACAGATGGAAGGAAACCCTGCCGTGCAGTACCCATCTCTACCCCAAATGTACTCTACAGATAGGCAGGGCCAGCACTGGGCAACAGGAATCCTAATTTTCTGCCCAGGCCCTGCCTCTGCAGGGTGACTTCAGGCCAATGGCTTCCCATCTCTGAGCCTCGGTTTCCCCACCTGTTCAGTGAGGGTGGGAGGCACAACTCTGAGCCTGTAGGGAAATCTAGATGTGTATAAGAGACAGCTTGCCTTCAACACTGACCCTTCCCTTGTCCTTAAACCCTCGGCCTTCAACACTCTTCCTCCTGGTGTTCTGACCACCTCTCTGACATCTCTTTG